TAAAAAAAGTTGTTAAAACATGACACAACACGATTCTGGCATGGAAAAAATATAGGGATATCAACTTAACTTACAGACTAGAATAAAATTTGCCACTATACATGACATTGAATTGATGTCTTGTGAAAAGACACCAGTCAACTTATGTGCTATTGCCAGTAAGGCTTCAGAACGAAAGTAGCATCCATGATTGACAGAAAGTAAAAATGAACGAATTATGTAAGCAGGTTTAAGTTTCTAGACCATTACAATATATGTGACGATGAAGATTGTCATATTACATCTATGGTCTTATTATCACTTCTGCACATTCAAGATATTTTGTGTAAAATATTTCATTCACGAGAATCCATCTTCGTATTAATGAAACTGTTATGTTTACATCTTTAGTAATATTGAAATGCTTATAATGGTGATGACATTAATGGTCAAAATGTCAATGATTTTTCTGCTTTAAAACGGACACACGTGATTGTGCAGTTATTTTCTGTGCGTGATAAACGCGACAATACAATCGTAAACTCAGCACAGATTTTGCAAATTGCAGGACCCTTATACGGACGAAATTTGCTGAAATATTGTCCGCGTGACCCCGTGGACACAAAAGTTTCCCACTTCGGACGTAAATCATAAATTCAGGGCAAAAGCAAGTAAATTTTATTAATATTTTTGAACTTGTTAAGCCTTTTTGAAATAAGTGTACAATAAAGAATGCATAGTACTGAAATGATTGATTTTCTCATTTTTCATTTTAGCATCTTCAACGTCAATTTCAGAAGAGGTTTACTTTTTTCTTTTGTTTTTAGTTTATTTTTAATTAACACTTCTGCCAAGAAAGTTGTTACAACAAAACAATTGCTGTGAAACAAGGTGATTAAGTATGTTGCTTTTAACTTGTTTAGTTTTAAAGCATAAATTAGTTATCAACAGTGTGATAAGACTTTTCCATTTATTTGAGATTGATAAAAAAGATGTGAAACGAAATTTAATTTTAGATCATCTTACTTTGGAAAGAATCTGGGCTGCGCATTGCTTTAATTGGGTGTAACACTTTCAAAAGCCTGACCCTTTGTTTTCAGTCTGTCACCGAACTAATTAATATTATATAGATATAGAAATATCCAATTATATTTCACGTTAAAGACTGAACTTATTTTGTGAGTGAATCGTTGTTGGTGTAAAATCAGACTGAAACGTAGAAATTTGCAAGTTGCACATGAATATTTCATTAGTATAGGGCTAGTATCGTCTATATGTTCTTTTGATGATATTTACTTTTGAAGTTCTTCTTTAGCCTTGGAAGGTATTCAAGTAGTAACCCTCATTATATACGACAGTGCAAGATGACAGAACTGTGCAGTGGCGGCATGGCCGAGTGGTTAACGCGTCGGACTAGTAATCTCATGATCGCAAGCCGCATGGGTTCAAACCCCGTCAGTGGCAAGTCGTTGTTTCTGAGCAAGACTTTACAATTATGGCTCAGTAATAGTTGGTTGGCAGGACGGATTCGAAGTCTTGTCTATAAGCTTAAACTTCCAACCACAATCGCACTAAATAAATTCTGTTAAAAAAAACTTGTGCAGTCGATGAAAAAATTTCATTGAAAATAGGGTTGCAAAATGGTTTGCTTTAAAATTATTATTTTTTGAATTGTTTTACTTTTACATGTTTTAATGGAATTGTTTTAATGGTTTGTTTTTTATTTATAAATCATTAACGCGGTATTCCGTATTTAAAATTGTTTTTAATGTTTACTGCTTTGATAAAGAAGGTGGCTATATGCTAATAGAAATGTTATTTAAATTTGATGTTTTATTTTATTATAAAAAAATTTAAATTGAGATATTTTTGAATTTTAAAATTATTATGAATTGTTTATTTAGATAAAGAACTACAAATATATGTATGGGGAATCTGGTTTTCTTTAGGGTCAAAATTAAATTGTCTTTTTTTTAAAAAAAAGCCCTTCTTTTAATGAACTTTATATCTGTGTACCCCTTTTAGTAGTAGGTTTTTAAAATAGTATTACTTGTGTGAAAACAAACTGTTTTTTTTTTAACAAAAAAATCGTGTAGTGCTCTATATCTTTAAGGGTAGGGGTTAAGGGGCCTTCTGTGAAACCCCCGATTTTTTTATTTTTTTTTAAATTTTATTCGTAATTTTGCCCTTTTTTAAAAATTTAAATGATATTTTTTTTTCCCTTGCTTTACACAAATTTTCGCAAAAATTTTATGCGCTAGGAGCCCTTTTACCCAAACAATTTACTTTATTTCGTTTTGATTTAGTTTACACCCTGTGCGATCGTTGCGAAATTATTTATGTCTTTCTAAAAAAATGAAATTAATGTGTTTGGGTTTATTTATATTTATGTTTTTTACTTTATATTGCATATTTTTTTTGTGAATGGTAATTTAAACAGGAAACTCGAGTGAGTCAAGCGACCTGGTAATTCAATGTTGGTGCCCCAGATTTCTGTCACTTATTTGGCCAAAAAGAACGACACAGGTGGCCCCTGGTGGTTAATGCCCCCCCAGGAATTTTTTTAAATTCGGGGGCCCAGATTGAAAAAAAAAACAAAGCCCGAAAAATGTCATCTTCAAACGCTAAACCGCTTACAAAACCCTTGACAACACAAATGCGAAACCGGGAAGTTGAAAAATCTTTACGAAATCTTAAACAGTGTCGTCTGCAGGAATAATGTCTACAAATGTAAAGGAGAAAATGGCAGATGTTATTGTACACATTTTTAAAGGGTTTTAAATTTCAGTTATTTCTGGTAGCAGCTTATTATCATATATCTAAAATGTTTTGTGAAACCTAAATATGTTAATTTGCCCCTTTAAATTTTTTATGTATCTTAAAATTAATCTTGAAAGGGCTTTTTTTTGTTGTTGTATTTAAAATTTTTTAAAAAATTATAAAAAATTAAAAATTGCATTTTTTATTTTTTTAAAAGTTTTGGTGTGTGGTGGGGGATGATGTGACGTGATGGGGTGTTGAAGAAAAAAAAATTTTTTTATTTTTGAAAAACAGTCGATTGAAAATGAAAACAATTTTTTTACAGAAAATCATTGAATATAGTGTAGTAATAAAATGTTATAACGTTAAAGATTTTATTATTCCCAGTATTTTGTTATTTCCGGTGGAAAGTCGACGTGTTTTTTCGATGGGACTCTTGTTTTTTCCGGACAGATGTAAACGCCCTTTAAAAACGATGTCCCCGGTTTGGTGTCTACAGGTAAATTTCTTTTTTTTTTCTTTGTTCTTGTAAAAAAGCCGGAAAATCCCATCAAGGGAAAAATTTAGTTTGATTTTTTGCCCGGCCCCAGGTTATTTTTTTTAAAAATTTTTTCTAATTTTTTTTATAGATAAAACCCCAAATGGGGATTTTTGTAATTTTGAATTTTGAAAATTATGCTTTTACCCAAAAAAAATTTAAAGGGGTATATAAAAAATTGTTTGGGCCTGTTTGGTTTTTTATTGCGCCCCGTTTAAAGATTTTTAATTTAGTTTATTTTGGATGGGGGTTGCTTTGAGTGACCTATTTTTTTGAGGCCAGGTAAAGGTTCCAAGGTAAGGGGATTGCTTAAAAAGCTTTCCCCCTTTTAAAATTTTTATAAGTTATTTTGCGGGGTTAGCTTTGTAAATGTTATTGGTTTTGGTCCAGGTGGTCAAGGTCACAGGGGCCTTGACTTCAAAAAGCTTGTCCGCCCTATAACTTTAGATTCCTTTGACCCTCAGTCTTCATATTTGGCATGGATGTTGATCATGATTAGTAGATGACCCCTTTTGATTTTGAGGTCACTGGATCAAAGGTCAAGGTCATAGGGAGTTTTACTTCAAAAAGTTTGCCACCCATTAACTTAAGATTCCTTTGACCCACAGTCTTCATATTTGGCATGGATGTTGATCATGACTATAAGGTGACCCCTTTTGATTTTGAGGTCACCAGGTCAAAGGTCAAGGTCACAGGGACCTTGACAAAAAAAGCTTTTCTTCTCAATTGCTAAAGAATGTCCTGTCTGCAATGTATTGATTTTGACATTTTCACATTTGAAGCATGTAGAATACATAACTTAGCAATGCACTGGCTTAGTAACCTCAGATTTGGCAGGGAGGTTGTCCTTAAGCTCTAAATGGCCACTGTTGATTCTGACAAAGTGGTATGCGGGGGTATTCACGCCATGATAGTGGCAGTTCTAGTTTTGTATAGATTCAAAAGAGCGATTAGAATGAAATCTATACTATTACAATGTGTATAATGTACATCTTTTCTAGTTTAGTAATAATAGCCAGGTTCCGTGTTCACAAAGATTTAAGGATCAGAATCAAGTTCAAAAACTCAAACATTCTCCATTAATTAAATATTACATATTAACTTGATAAAACTGGACTTGAAATAGCATGTTTATGAAATTTTAGAATAAAGTCATTGTTATTTTTACAAGATACGGCATGTTTACATTTGACCCTGATCCTGATCTTTTCTTTGTGAACACGGGGCCAGGATATACAGCATGTCTTGATATTTTGATATAGGCCTAGCAAACATGTTCCTTTTCATAACATTATGTTCGCATTTTCCACTTATCATAAGAATGTGATTACTTTTAAAGTTTGGGTAGTGAAAATCTTGTTAGACATATAAAAACATATCGAAGTACTGAAGGAAGGGGGGTAAATGTAATGGGTTTACAAAGGAATAACTATGATATTAAATATGCTAGTTGTAATATAGAATATGAAATTCCACACGGACTAAGCTCTTTAAGTGGTGGTTGCATAATATTTGATATTTATAAGTGTATGTCAACTTGAGTTCATACAAAAACGTTGGCAAAGTCGTTATTGAATAAAAACTATTAATCTAATTATTCTGAATCTATTGATATAAACAATTATTGATAGAACGTACTGGTAAAATTTTATACAGTTTAGTAAGCTTATTAAATATGCTGTAAATTGAGTTAGATGTACATAATTTTATTTATATATTACAGGATTCTACAGGCTATTGGGAATCTTTGATTTTTGAAAAGATTGATTCAGCGACAAGATCGTTGCTGTCCGCGAATATGTGTACACAAGAACTACAATCATGCGTGAACAATATGATGAACAACTTCGTGGACTGTTCGTTATATCCGGTATATAGAACTATAAATAATTGTGTTCTATTGTCAGTGTATAGTTTATTATTACTTTTTCCCCAGCCTTACTTCAAGATGATGTACAGAACATTATTATATGAAATAACTTTTATTACACCTAAACAAAGTCCCTATTACATCTAAGTCCTCATTAGTCTTTAGCTTAACCTTCATTATTTGTTATTGCACTCATACATACAATTGTACGTTATAATTTTGTTATATAATTTGTTATATTATAGTAACGTAAAATGACAAAGAATTATTACACATACTTTTAACAATTATATATAGTAAGAAAATCAACTTTCTTGAATATATATGTGTGAAGAGTTTTATATATTGACAAGATTAATCATTGAACATGCATTGTGGTAACGAACTATATTTATATATATTAAGTTTGCATAGTTACAATTAATGAAACACGGTTTAAATGATATAATGAAACGTATAACGCGATATTTTCTAGAGTCAAAAGCCCATTTTAGCCTCATCAGTTAAGTTGTGTTTAAATAGTACTTACTTTTCAGAAAATGCAAATAACAACACAAGTGATGCAACTTATATGTGATCTAAAAGAGAATAAAAACCTTACATCAACTTGCTACAAGGAAGTTCTGATAACTTTACACGTAACCATTGCTGATGTTCTAAGAAATGGAGACAATGTAGTAAGAATTTTGTATCATGTTGTGTAAAATCGACCGACTTACCCCAATCCCGTACAAATATTCAATTCAAAACTTTAATAAGAACGGTCAAGTGTTAACACTGATTGCAAGTTCGATCCACCACATCAAGTAAATTTTATTACAAGTTTTTTTTTAGATGACACTATAACAGAAATTTAAGCTGATTTCGTGATATAATCTTATTACTATTTAAAATGGACCATTTAACATGTCAAGATTCTTTACAGGCTCGAAAATACATAATATATAAACGGTTTGATATTCAGAAGGTGTACATTAAAATTACTTATGTCATATTGCACCGATGCATACACCTCTGTAACTTTTCGGAAACCGTTAGAGCACTATTTGCATATATAGAGTGATGCGTCTTGCGAAATACGTTATTTGGGTAAGTGACGTTACGATAACCGTGGTTTGTGAATTTGTCTTTAACTAAAGTTACTATACCAATGCAACGCATAGCCATTTAATTGTTTCGTTGTTATCAATTTAATTTTCAAGTATCATTTCTTTCATAAAATAGAAACAGCATACACTCTTAAAAATAAAGTTGATCAATTTCATCTGTATATTAAACGTTTCCACAGATTTATTTTTTACGAGAAATGCATTTACACCATCATATTTGTTTTTCTTCTATCTTGTTCTCGCACAAAAAGTACAAAATCGTTTGTTCAACGCTTAGAGTATACTTAACATTAGTCAGAGTCAAGTAAAGTGGTTTTAGCTTTGTCTAACCTTTTACATCATATAGACGTGTTTTGACGGCTTTTCACCCCCCCCCCCCACTTTTTTGAGACATCAAATAGTGAAAAAATACCCTATTTAGATCCCAAACACGGTTTCGTTTGAGAGAAATGTTGTTAAAAAGTGATCATATTACGGCGCCGCCTCCTATCAAAAAGGCACATCAAAGGGATGCCAGAGGGGGATGTGTTCCCTTCTGTTTGGGGGTTTGAAGGGGGCAGTAGCCCTCATCGCCAAGAAAATTTTGGACATGTGACAGGCTAAAAATAGCTTCAGCTCTCGATCTTAAGGTAATGTGTAACTTACGCTGAAAAGCCGTTTACTCTATCTCAATCCACTGAGAAGTTGCATTACTTTGAAATCAGTTTTGATGGAGAAAATAATGCAAAATAGTGATATTTGGCAATATTGAGACGTCCCCCGTTGCCATGGTAACGGCCATTTTTCACAATATACTCATGCGGTAAAAGGTTTAAGTATGCAACCATTGACATCTTGCAAGTTTTTATTGTTTGTAAATACATGTATCCGTTAAGTTTCAGAAATATAAAGTACCACCTTTATCTACCAGAATGTCTGTGTGAAAGCGAATTCTTTATAAATTGCCGGATACTTTTTTTTTGTTTCAGGAAAATGAGGTGTCCACATGCCAGTCACCCGAGGCGTATGTGAGTTACAATATATGATAATAATGTACTCTTCTTTGTTATTTTTCTAATACAATTAACGAAATACGGGTAAGACATTTGTTTATATAAAGAGGCTATTCTAATATTATATTACAAACTGAAAGACATTTTTAAAATATAACTATCGGAGGTTATGTTAATTGATAGTTTTCATTATATGCTTGAAAGAAACGTCTATAAGTTCCACTATGTAGAATCTGTTCTTTTCCCCCTCATTTCTCCAAAACATGAAATAACTTTCTCCTTTAAAGAAACGTTGATAGTTTGTTGGTGCGGTTATACGCCGTTTCCTGGTCCACCTTACCGATTTCCGGGACTAATTAGTACAAATGTAATTACCAAATATCCACAAGTGTCAAGTGATTATCCCACATTATTTATTTATCAGCGGCGGTAAAAAAAGATCTAAGATATTAAATGTATAGTTATCATATTTAATTGAATATCTTCAGATGGCGAAGCGTTTGATTTGTGCTGAAGTGGCCTGTCCGAAAGAATCTAAAACTTTCCATAGGTAAAAAGGTTTACTTTTTTTCGAAATAAACAACCAGAAGCATAAGATAGTGTATTTACAGGCATATTATTTTGAAAGATCAGCAAAATGTAGTTTAGTTTATCAATAATGTTTGTTCGAATATGGTTTGTGCTACGAATTTCATCTTGCTAGAAATAAAATGAAACACATCGGCCAGTGTTCTGTTGCCACTTGCATCGAAATTGACGAATTATTAAGCGTGCATACTTGACATTTTTTGGTACACATTTATAATATATGATGTGCTTTCCTTTCTAGTTTTACACCATGGTCATGGTTTATGTCAGTTGAAGATGATCTTATGATTGAATGTAAACTTACACCATCATCATGTGACGTCCCAGAACAGGTAAATAAAGGTGTATATATAATTTTGTTATATAAAACAATGTTTAGTCTGCCAGGTCTTTCATACTTGATATCGGTTATTCTTGCCAATAAACAAACTTTTACTGGTCAATTTAAGACATAAATAAGTACATCATTATTTGCAAAACATAATCACATTTGTTTATTATGCAATTTAAAATCAAAACATAGTTAAATATTCTTTTCTTTTTTAAACTTAATAACAATAATAACTTTATTTTGAGAAGGTGACATAATTATTAACAGTACATAATAAACAAAAATGTCTTCTTATACGTATATAAACAGAAAACAGAAACAACAATAAACACCAATATAATTACGACAAACACTCTTACAAAAATAGGTAGCATTATCATACATGGATTGTTCAGCAAAACAGGTTTTCACCTTTCATGTTTGGTTGACTTGTTCAATGTTGCATGCTTAATCCTTTAAGCGTACATATGACATAACTGACGGAGATAAAACAGTATATATACAAGGTATATACATGTATTGTATGTCATTTCTGAAAAAAGTCAAGAAAGGATTTTATTCATTTCTTGAAAACGTACTGAATTGTTTATTCTTGTTAGATTTTATTGGCGGTATCGAGACTCGTACAGTTCTAAGTCTTCGTAATTTTGTAGAGCATTTTTACATAATTTTTTTTTTGCTCCAGCGAAGTCATATTTAGTCCTCATATTATTGCAGTATCCGCCACGAAAACATAGGTTAAACACTCCCGTTTAATTTTAACTTTCATTTGTATCATTGTGTTTGAATATATCTTTTTATTGTTTTAAAAGACCTCTTCCTTTCCTTAAATAATTTACGGTTATTTCAAACATTGTAGATTTACAACAATAAAAAGTGTTCTTTATGCAATGTTTCGAACTGTGCCAATTTCTTGTTGAAGGATTAGGCCAACGCCTTGTCCTTATTTTAATGAAACGACATACTCATTATAAATTTCTAATCACAGATATTGTTTCAAATAATTATGTATTGTCGCTTCTCAGCAATTTGCTGTACTCTTCAAAATGAAGGTGTATTTGTGCATCATTTGCTTTATGCCCGATTACGTCAAATGCTGGTTGTACACCGCTAAATAAAACTAGTGTTAACGGTTTCGTAATGTACTCCGCCAAATTAAAGATATTGATCAGAAGATCACTATTTAGTTTCTTTCTATCCGTGCCAAGCTGTTGCTCTCTGTTATATAGAACCTTTGAGCATGAAAACAAATACGATCAATAAGACATTAAGTCAGTCCCCAGTAATTTATATCTTTAATCACAGTTAGAGAAATGCGTTAGATCGTATATTTAAGAATAGTCTGTACTTTTTCTTGTTTCGTTCTCAAAAATGTGTTTACGGAATTTAAGCTTTGTGGCAGTTTGTCTAGCACTGATGGTTTATACATGCTATGCTGTTGATGGAAAGTTAGAAAGAATTAAAAGAAATCACAACGCTTCACACGCTGATGATTCTAAAACTATTGGCCAAGTTATTAGTAACTGGCTGACGAACCTTTTTGGTTCGAACACAAACTTAACAGACGTGGCAAATAGACCGATGAATGACAGTTCCAAGGCAGCTTTACAGTCTTTTCTTTCTAATGTTTCCCAGACAGGAACGCCAGTAAACGGAAATGTCGTCACAACGACAGGTAAACAAGCGCCGCAACTGGAAGTGAAGCCACAAGAAGAAAACACGGCTACATCTGGAACTTCTTCATTTACAACATCACAATATTCATCATCAACTACATGGCCGGAGTCGTCTACGAGTTACCCGCCAGAGGATGAAAAATGTTACACAGATGCCGTATTCCAGGTAGGACTAACTCAACCAGAGGCTTTCAATTAAAAAACAAAACATTTAGACCTTAATGTTTCGAGTGCTTTATCGTTCGATATTGCACGGTGTACTTTTCAGATGACCAATTAGGCATGGAAAAGCGCTAATATTTATTTTGAAAGAAAACTATTGGTAGTATTCTAGCAATATGCAACAAAAAATTGATATAATTATTCTAGCTATATGCAAAAGAGCATTTACATCATAATACAATATCGTTTTACGTTATTTCTGAAGTCACATGTTCAGGTGAATCTTCCTTTTCTGATATCCTGTGTATATTTCTTTGACCAAGACGTTTGGCTGAAGACGATAATATCCTGACAATGAAATAATACGTTTATGATAAATACATAAAATATAATAAAATAAGAATACACTTCGGCCAACATGTTATATTGTTTGCAAAGTCCGGCAAAGACTGGCAATGCTGTAAGGTGATATCAGGTGCCATTCTGTGCACAAGTTATATTCAGGTAAAACCATTGACAATCTGAAAGCTATTTGGACATCATGAATAATTCCAAAGTCTTTACTTTTTTGATATTTTGGCAAGCAAGGGACAAGCGATTTGCTACGGATGCTTCTTAAATTAAAGTAATATAAGCGTCTGGTCTGGTCAGGTTCTTTTAAAGAGGCTTTACACCAGGTTTCAATATGAGAACAATATTGTCTCCAATAAAATGATTCAACGATGCAAACTTAATCATTTCTTTACTTTTTCAGAATTTTTGCCCAGTACCAGATGATATGGCGGATGTGTCGTTTTGGGACTTGTACTCGGTGTTCTTCTCGGACTCTGTGCTAGATGCATTGATGATAGGCTGCACAAAAGGATCGTGGTGTCTCAAAGTTTGTAAAAATAGTCTTTAATGCTTACTTTTTTAAGTTTTAAAATGATCTCGTAATAGTTTGTTATCTTAAAGAAGTAATCTTTTTTTTTAAAAAATGGCTGCTCAATATTGTAAGTAGGGCAGTGTCCGTCTGTTTACATACATGCTAAGAATGTCGCTTGTTTTATTTAAATTGATAGCATTTTACATTTCCTTTCAGGATAAATTTGATTATTGGCAGTCATTAATAGTAGAGAGGGTTGACATGGTAATGCACTCAGAGATAGCAGAAAGTATGTGTAGGTGTGCTTAGAAAGAGTGGTCAACAATTTTAATAACTGTTCCATGTATTCGGTAAGTTTACTATTGAATTTTTTGTTTGTTTTTATTATTATCATTTACTTATTTATTTTGGATAGGGTTGTAATTCCTGTGAAATCGTGTTAAAACCGGTTCTTACTTGTTTGCTGTCTGTTTTAGTCAACTTGCACATGATCAATTCTTTTTAAAGTTCTTATTGCAAGCTTTATAACAAAATAGCATTTATTTGTGTATATATTGATTAACAGATAGCTTGGATAATCTCGGAGAGCGTTTACATACATTTGAATAGATAACCATATAAATGTGACACATGTCCTAAATCAATTCTTGCTTGTAACATATGTTTACCAAAACAAAACCGGTTACCATAGCTTGTGAAACTTGAAATCCATACATGACTCAATTGGGATAAATTACAAACTGCGTATGTACTTTTTCGAAAAGGACACTGTGCATTAATCTGATTCATTTTGTATCAATTTTGAATTTTTATCAATGGTTCCATATAACTAATGAATCGTTTGCAGTACACAAATACGACTCTGTACTATTTTTGCAGAATCATTTTGTAATTGTCTGTTCAAACAAAGGGAACTTTTTTTAAATAGATAATGTTACACCTCTAATGAAAACTGCTAAGGGTTTGCCAAGGGTTTTCGATATGTTCCCAATGCTTCCAGTGCAGACGAAGATCACCTCATCCGATAATAGTCTGCAGTGTTCGCTTTCAGAGAAGACTATTTTGAAAATTTCCCTAAAATGATTAATTTGTCTTGTACAAAGTGAAAGATGGACAAGTCCATATAAGTGTGGTAAAGTTAATGACAGAATACGTTTTTAAAAGAAAGTTTATATCTATGTTTAAAGATCTATATTGAAGATTCTATATTGAATTTCAATTTTTTTCTCAGCAAATGGTATATACAACTGAAGTGTTGAAACTAGTTTGTGGCATGAAACAAAATCCCCGATTAGAGTCACCTTGTTATATGCACGTGATATCAGCATTACACGTGACACTCGCTGACCTCCTTAGAGAAAAGGTAATAAAAAGTTCCTTGTTGTTATTATTATGTCACATTTATAGAAACATGTGGATGCAGTATCCCTCTATTGGAATGTTTCTTTAGATATCTATATACATATGATATATATTTAATTTGCGAACTGATATAATGTAGATATTTTAATAGCTTTATTCAACATTTCGTTATTTAGAATATTTGGTTTAAACATATTTATTTAAGCTAGATTGCGAAACAAGTTCTTGAAGCTTATATTAATCACTGTCGAGTCCGCTTCCTTGAACCAACCAGTACTGGTGTCATATGAAGAAACATGGTCGTGACCCTAGTCAGGTTCGAACCCATGATACATGGGTTGAGAGGAAAACTCCTTAACCACGTGGCCACTGCTCCTCTTTCTAATATTTTAGAATATTTACACTCTGACATGTTTGAATAACAATAATAAGGATAACATTTGTGTTTTGTAATTGCAGGAGAATGATGAATCATCAAACGAAAATTGCGAGTCACCGGAAGCACATGTAAGCCGCGTGGATTTTCATTTAAAGTATTGTCGAATAGGATGTCACAAAATAATTTATATAAAAAAACTTTTTGTTTTAAATGTTTCGTTATGCACCAATATTTAAAGGTCAGTATTGACATTAGTATGATAAGAGTGTTCAATGGGTTAGGGATCAATGAATGTACGCAACAGAAACCTTTACTTTAAAGCGTATTTGTTAACAGAATAATAAAAATAATATACAATATTTCCATGCGTTTTAATTTCAGATGACGAAAGGTTTGATTTGTGTTGAGAATTCTTGTCCTGGCGAATCAGAAACATTTCAAAGGTTTTATCTATTTTTATAATATGATTCTCACCTGTAGAATAAAGTTTTCCTTTAAATTTCTAAAGAGATGCTTTCTTTCATATCAAATCACTTGTTTTATCGTGACATCACAAAAAACTCGTGTTACAAAGACAAACAGCACATAAATAGATGATGTTCAATCAGTGTAGGTCCAATTCTTAATTTATTGAATAATTTGATTAAAATTATGGTTATACGAGTCGTTGGTGAGCATGATGATATTTTATTCATATTCAACTCGTTCAATAAATTTACTAATGTAGCTTCACGAATATAATATTCTGTTTATCACATACCCAAATTATAGAAAAATTTAATCATTTTTTCGTTGACGCGTTATAGTAAATGCTTACATTAAGCGCGTAATTATTTTAATAATTTTTTTTCTGTATATGTGAATCAGTTATATTTTATTTTCAAATGAGAGTATGGGTGATTATTTAACCATTGACTTTACTTCCCTAACATCAAATTTAACTTCCAAAGATTAATTATTAAACATTTTTCCACTTCCGGCCAAACCTCTCTAAAGCGTCTGGATCACCATAACGCATCTTTTATGGCCAGTATTTCGATATCACAATTATTCATTTTTTTCCCTTAGTTTCAAGCCCTGGTCCTGGTTTACATCAGTTGTAGATGATCTTATAGATGAATGCAATTATGACCCCACTACATGCTTGGCGTTGTTACAGGTATTTAAATTAAACATTTGCAAATATTAAGACAGCTATAAAATAGTCAAAAGTAGTCAAAGTCACTCACAAAGATCATTTGAAATGATAACTATTATTAAGTTTGTTCAAGAACGACTGTAAATAATGTGATAATTAGAGACTGCTTGAAAAAGCGACTTCAGTCGGTTCGGTGTACCAACGTGTGTTAGTTCGTTAGTGTACGTGTCAGTCCAATTTGTCTGAAATCGAAAATATATTTGTACAAATGTCAACCTTAACGACAAGTCTTATCCACAAGAAGCAGAATTGTAAATGAAAGGTCAATGTCATACTTAGGCGTCAAAGTTGAAAAAATGATTGCTTGGTCTGGGTTGTTACTCTGAATTCTCAGATGTGCATCCAAATGAGTCGATGTGCCGATCGTAAGCGGCTGATTTATGCTTTTGAATTGATCTCTATATCGTAAACGGGCACAAATATATCTGGTTATGTTTATTTGAATGGGGAACGAATTTTTGTTAAGACCCTTATCCACTGACACATCCATTGCGTATCATGACTTTACTTCATGCCTTAGTCATACATGTACTTAAATTTTTTTCCTCGAAAGAAAATGACTTTGAAAACCAATACTATAGTATAAGATTTTAGCAAACAAGTCTTAAAATTAAAATCTTTGATTTTTTAAGGAACTTTTAATATGATTTTCAGGCACCTGCTGGTTACGGAAGTGATATGGGAACTTTGGTTGGAATCAGCGTTGCAACCATGGTAACCGCATTAACACTTACGGTTGTCGTCTGCACGTGCTATAAACGTCATCGTCGTAATGCAGTCGTCAAGGAAGGTTATCAAAGGCTTCTTACAGACGGGGACGAATCCTGAATTAATAACAACAAAATCTAGAGATTGATAATTTAATCTTACATGTATAAATTCTTACTTTCTAGTATTGTTTCTGAAGGTTTTGTAGAGATTTATTTTGTGTAAGTTTGAAGCACATTGTTTTAGGTACTAGATAGAAGATTTTGAATTTTTTTTCGGTATATATGACTTCTATTTTTCTAAATAATTTTTTTCCTGATATATAGACATAGCATAGAGAATCATTAAATTTGTTTAAAATATTTATTTAATTGAATCACTTAGTAATATACAGATATATCAAGAAGTTTTAAAATTATCAAGTTCTGGTAAAATTTTCATGTTATAAAAATTCAATCTTAAATTACTTTTATTTTATTCATTTATAAGTGTTGAAAGTTAAAAAATGAGACTTTCATCAATGAGAGGTTCAAGCGGAGTTTTTTTATTATTTGTTTGTTTTATATCGTGTTTGATACTCTTAAGAATGTAAAAGAAAAGAAAATAGCAAAGAAAGCAAAATGTAATCTCTTGTGGAAAATATTTTATTTTGAAACTGATATCTTAGGATGTTTACATGTATATATATATAAAATATGCCTATAAGATAAAATAAATTGATAAAAGACCAATAATAATTTAGTTTTTATGTTTTATCCAGGCTATTTATTATTATAATTGCGATGTGTGTTTTATTTCTATATGGTCCTCATTATTTCCTTATTAAACAACGACTAAGTTCTGTCGTGCAGTGTATTTAGGTGTTTTAATGCAAGAGCATTGATACTTTTCGTACTGTGCTGATAATCTTTGTAAATCAGGGCGCATATATATCTAAAATTCAGAATAAAGATACTGCCTTTACGACATATTTACAAAAATACATTACTCTTGTGCAGTGCATGTAACTGACAATTGTTCTTTAATATGGGGTTTCAAAAACTACAACACACTAGGTATTATCAGCATTGAGCAATCAGTTTTTATTGGTGTACATAGATTTACACAAGCAATTGCTGGTGATATTGTGTGGATTTGTGCTCAACATAGACGTTGGGATAATATACTGAGACTTTAGGATAGACTTGCACATATGGGTGATGATAAACTCACAAAGAAAGTGTTTCTGTATGATACTACTGTTGGTTGGAAACACATGTTGTTCAGACGTTAAGCATATTCTACAACAGGTTTATGTGTCATATTTGTATGACAACTAACTTCCAGTTAATTTGAACAGTATCGAAGACTGTTCAGTTTCACATTATAAATCAATTGGTCTGACAATGTTACAAATGTTGCAAAACTGAGAACATATGTTACATTCAAACAAAACTATGAAACAGGAATATATCATAAGTTTTCCTTAATTAAAGCAGAGCTGTCGCATTTAGCGCAATTGAGATGTGGTATTCTCCCACTGCACACTTTGTACTGACGATGGTGTAGTGGTTGAAACTCTCTTTTTATTGCGAATTATATCTAAACAATCTCCAGGATTGTTTAAAGCTGCACACCTCAAAATGAGCCAAAATATCTCAAGAAATTCAATCTTTTGAAAAAATGTATTAAGATCTTAAGAAAGGTAAAATTCTACTGCGTTACTAACGCAGTAAGATGTATTTATATATATATTGACCTCTTTTTGGTAATTTACGTGGATTGTAAGTGCCGTTGTATTGTGTAAATTACTTTCTTTGTTCACTTCACAGTATTTTACTTCTAAATACATTTCCAAATTTGGTATGAAATATGATAATTTTCATATCACAATTTGATAACAAATCATGTATTTATAGAAAAAAACTTGAATTTTCTTTTTATTATATACTTTTCTCTATTTTGACCTTATAATTCTTAAGACTTCTACCTTAATTTTGTGTATTAGCTTTACGAAGAAGAAAGTAGTCCGACAAACTACCAGTAAAAATACGGAAAATATGTTTCACTGTAGTTTTAAAGTGAAAATACGGAAAATGAAAATACTCATTTTATTTCATCAATATTTCTCAATGTTTCATTTATTAGTATGTAATAAAAGAAAATCTTAACAGTGTATACACTTTCTGTCATGCTTTGCTTCTATAAGCAATGCTCCGTAAATGAAATTAATAATTCGTAATTGACCACTGTATTTCCATTTTTTTTTCTATGATTATTTTAAAATACTTTGCATAACACAATGTCACTCTAATAAAAATAACTTACTTGCACAATATTTACTTAAGAACAGAACAGAACTGAACATACTTTTATCATCAGAGTTCACATGTATCGTTTGTGTGGCCCATTAACAGGCTTGAGGTAATGATACTGGTAATGGTAATGCAGTAGGAATGCATTACTTTTCTTGAGAGTATTGCAATGTAATGATACTGCATACAAATTTTCATTACTTGTAATAGTACTGGAATGCAAAATTCAGGTAATGAAGGTGCATACAAAGAACACAAGATAAAATTGTGATAGCCTTAATCAGTCAAATAAAATATCAAATCATGAAAAATTCAATGTCCCCTCTCACTTATATGTCTGCACTGATTTATAACATTAGTATCAATTGAATCAATTATTGTACTTGCTGGCATGTAAAGACAAAGTGCATGTATTGTTCTTCCATGATATCTGGTAGTCTGCGCAACCAAATACCTGATTACCCCATGTACTTCTGCCCCAGTGTAGAAGTTTTTTTTCTGTGGCGGGTTAAGTGTTCCACCCAGACAGATGTCTTTTTAACGATGACAACTTCCATAACTAGTCATTAAATGAATGACAATATGTTGTAAACTATATTGTGTACATTGAACTATCAATGGTTCTTGACTGTAAACAATTTCTAAGCAACCTGTTGAAAGTAGTGAAAAATAAGTGACTTTTCTGGTATTACAATATTACATTACAACTTAGAAACATTGTGAAACCTAGTGAAATGATAAAACGGTAGATAGTAGTAACTTTTTCTAATGTTTATATGCCTATATTACAACTTAAAACTCTTTGAAAGTGTCTCATATATTAAGAAATTTAATAATATGTATACAAATGTACATGATTAGCTTGACTTTTAGTAAATATAAGCTACAACACATCTTAGCTTGGCAAAAAGTAATTGTCTTATGCTCAACATAATGGTAAAGATACTGCATTACTTGGTCCAAGTAATGGTAATGTACCGCATTACTTGCCCAAAATCAAGTAATGGTACTGGTACTGATACAGCACCAAACCCCAAAGTTATGGTAATGGAATGCAATCCTTTTGCAAAGTAATGGCCCATTACCGTGCACGACGTTTCAAGGATGACTATTCTAGTTTAGGTACTCGTAAATATATCTTCCTGTTCGTTGTGAAATAGAAAAATGGTAATGTCGGGGGCTACACCATTTAGTGTAAACTAGAAAATCACAAAATTATAAAACGTAAGTAAAAATGGCAACCCAAATACAACACAGCTTAAATATACTACTCAAAGCTAAGCACCATATGTTTGAGTTTGAATATATTTTTGGTATAATGTAACTAACGCCGTGCGAAAGGTTTTAAATGTTGATTTACTGTTTTATAAATTCAGCTGAAGGACGAATTTAACCCTGTAAATCAATTTAACACTGATTTTGTGCTAGAGAAGAGAATGATCCCTTCCCCCTCTTTGAAAATTTCAGAACATGTAGCGAGTTTCCAAATTTGTTGAATTCGTTTTTTGTTGTTTTGTTTACAGTTTCAGACTTAATACCGTGTGTGTGACCTGTGACTATCAATGGCAGTTTCATACTCCCTATTATGTTTCTGATCGTTCTAACGGATATGGCTGCCAATTCTTGGACCAACATGGCTCCAAGCTCCTGGATGCTTCTGGGTTGCAACTGACGAACTATTATTCTAACCTGCAGCTTATTCCACATGTGTTCTATTGGATTAATGTCAGGTGAGCGAGCTGGCCAGTTCATGTGCTCAATAGACTCCCTCTCTAGGTAGCCCTCGACCACCCTTGTCCTATTGTGACGGGCATCATCGTCCATTAAAATTAACTAATCACCGACTGCTTCAGCATACGACCTAACCTGTTTGTCTATGTATCGCTGATGTGTATTTATTAAGCACAACCAGGTGTTTGTCCAGCCCAGCTGATGCCTCCCCATACCATAACTGACATACCTCCGTAGCAGACATGCTCAACAATATTTGCAGTCTGAAACCGTTCACCTCATCTTCTCCAGACTCGAACACGCCTAGGCAGAACCTGGACTCATCAGTGAATAAATCGTGTCTCCAGTGTTGCATGGTCCACCGTGTAAGCTCCATGGTCCATTCCAAACGGGTCTGGCGATGTCGACGAGTCAAGGGGATACGTATGCAAGGTCTTCACCGCAAATTACCTTCATACAGCCTTCTACGTACCGTCTGCGTGGGAGCACGGACCCCCGCACCGCAGCATTAGCAAAAGGTCATTTCGAAGAGAAGTTGCTGTCGAAAACCTTGCACAACGTGCCTGAACCACCGACCAAAAACTGACCCTCAGCTGGTGTTGTGACCCTTTGCCGACCACCAGCATGCCTCCTGGCGGGTTTAACATGTAGCCGGTATCTTTCCCAGGTTCTGATGATGAAGTTGTAGTGTACAACAAGCACCGCACCAACTTGGCGGAAAGTGGCCCCTGCTGCGCAATCCCTTCAGCCCTCCATAACTCTGCTTCTCTCATTAGCCGCATAATGTTAGCATTAAGCTGGTAATGTCGCATGTGAATGTACACCCAAAATATTGGAGTGCATGATTTACATGCTACCTAGACGAGTTGTTACGGATTAATCAACTCGGATTCATGTCAGGGGACTATCGCAAAACATTGCTGAATCAGAATGTTTCAAAAATCAAAAAGAAATTTGTTTTATACTTGTGATAATATAAAAATTAACGTATGGTGCTTAGCAAAAGTTGAGGAGTTTATGAAATAATTTAACTGACCTTTTCAATGCTTGCAAAACAAAAACACGTAACGCACACAATCAAAATAGAGAAAGGGCAGCGGTGGTCTAATGGTTAAGGTGTCTGTCTCTCAACCTAGAAATCATGGGTAAGGGGCCCTACTCCGGCCACGACTGTGTTTTTTATATGACACCAGTAATGGTTGGTCCAAGGAAGCGGATTCGAAAGTGATTAATATAAGTTGCAAGATTGTGTTTCGCAATCGAGCTTAAATAAATATGTTTAAACCAAATTAGAGAAAGCATTTTATGACCGAACACATCAATGTTGAATGATATTAGAAATCAAGTCTGAATACTTTTAGAAAATGTCAGCGCCAGTCCTTTTATTGTCTCATCCATCCAATCAAAATATTATATGATGATAAATTCATTACCTCTTATTTTCCTCTAAAACAGTTACTTTTCACTCAAAAAGCAGTTATCAAAAATGTTAGAAGAAAAAAGGTTATCAAGGAATTGGTTCAAACGCTACTAAATAAAATGTCTGGAAAAAGTGAGCCACTCATCGATTCTTATACAAATTTTGAACGTGAGAAAGAAAAACAAATTTTGTTGTATATAAACCATTTTTGACTTTAAGATAAGTCATGAAAAGTGACATTAATCACGCAGGAGAAATAAGGTGAGCAATACTGCAAAATCAGTAAATAGTCGCACATTACATGAAAATTAATCTTGAATAATGAATCATATTACTTTTCTTAAAATCTTTCACTTTTCAATTTTCTTAAGTTTGATTTTGTTGAAATATTGTGGTTCATCTGGAGACATGCGGCTCTAAGAATATTGTTAACATTTATACATATCCTTCTTCCAGTATGGTAACTGACATCATAAAAATAAAACTATAATTGTCTGTCAGTTTCAAACAAAAAAGTTTAACCTTATTTATACCATTTAATATTTCACTTCCATCAATGATTGATCGTTCCCCATTTATTAATTAAACTTACCACACAGATACTGTAGCCACAATAAAATGTTTAAAATAAGATGATATTATTTGTTGTACATCGTTACATTAATGAATGTATTCTAATATTCTATATCATTTTTTGCTTGAAGAATAAATGACAAAATAATGAAAAAATTCGTTTTAAGGGCAATATATATTATATACAAATAATATGATTTAACGTTTGAAAAAATCTGACATGATATATTAATATCATGATTCTGAACAACTGTGATATATTTCATTTTGTTTCAAACCCAATTCTTGCTCCTAGACCTCCTGCAAAATCGTTTGACACATTTAAAAGAAATTATAAGTACTACCACTAATACAATTATAATTAACACAATGTTCACTGGATCAGTATAGCTCCTTGATACAGGCACAGGAAGTTTCTGTAATAAAAAAAAAACATAATGTTATGTTGTATCATTACAATATTTGTTATTTAAAATGTCTTTGTTTATACTAGTACAGATACAGTTTACACATAATAATAATAATAATAATAATAATAAGACCAAACATATCAATCTTCCATGAGGCCCTCAACAAGGAACAATATAAATTTAACATATTCAAACTATTAAAATACATAAATGTAAAAACATACAGGAGATTATCAATTTGCATACATCAATGTGTGATAATACCTCAAGTATAAGGTTTTAAAATGGTTCACATATGTAACAGACTTAATATAATCAGGAAGGCCGTTCCAAATACAAGATCCAGAATAAACAAAAGACTTACGAAATTGTTCAGTATTTGGTCTAGGGATATAAAGTTGAAAATCAGATGATGAACGCAAAGTGCGAGTGATAAAATGAAATTATTCAATAAATAGGAAGGCGCCTGCTTATTCGTTATTTTAAACATCATAATAGCTTTTTGAAAAACAACCCTCTGTGAAAAGGTCATCCAGCGGAGTTCATAAAAAAGTTCAGCAGATGGAGTGTCATACTCTTTGTCTAGAATTAGTCTTGCAGCTCTCTTTTGGAACTTAATGAGTTTATCTTCTAGAAAAGACGTACAGTTACCGTAAATTATGCAACAATAATCAAGATGTGGTAAAATATATGCATTGTAAAACATTTTACGTACAGGTATAGATATGAATAATTTTATACGTGATAATAAATGTAACAATGAGTTACATTTTTTAAGAACATTATCAATATGGCTTTGCCAAGACAAGGTGTTATTAATTGTAATACCCAATAATTTTTCTTCAGAGCTACAAAATATTTGCTCTGTTTTATATGAAATACAAGGATTACTTTCATGAATATAATTTTGCTTGTTTTTTGAGGAAATATACATGACCTTAGTTTTGTTAACATTGATAGACATGCGATTCAAATCACACCATTTGTTGGCATTTAAAAGATCATGAGTAAGAGATTTAACTACTCTCTTAAGGGATACATCAGAGGTTGAAAGGGTGGTGTCATCAGCAAAAATATTAGTTTCTGTTTTTTCCATAGACAAAGGCAGGTCATTGATATAGATTAAAAAAGTATAGGACCTAGCACTGAGCCCTTAGGAACTCCAGTAGTTACTGAACTTGACTTTGAATATAAACCGGATATGTAAGTTTGTTGGGTTCTGCAATCTAAATAGGAGGAAAAACCAAGCAACTGATGAAGGGTCTAGGTTATACATTCTAAGCTTTTTAATAATAATAGAGTGATCCACATGGTCAAAAGCTTTAGAGAGATCAAGGAAAATTGAACCAACTATTTCATTTTTGTTAATAGCTGTAATCCAATCATCAATAATTCTAATCAGTGCAGTTTGACATGAATGATTTGACCTGAATCCAGACTGACGTTGGTATAGAAGTTGATTGTTCTCAAGGTATTGCTTTAAATGTGAACTGACATGACGTTCAAGAATAAGTGATATCAAGGGAAGTATGGAAATTGGCCTATAGTTTCTTTTATCACTTTTAGAACAGGAAAGACTTTGGCATTTTTGAATGATTTAGGAAATGTATTGTTTAGAATGCTATTATTGAATATAGTGGTAAGTATAGGGGCAATATTAAGGGCCGATAACTTTAGAAACCTTGCACTGAGACCATCTGGCCCCCAAAAAACATATTCATAAAACAATCAACAAACACAAAGTGTTTACATTGTTAACGCATTGCACAAAGGAAAACACAGCTCTATATATTGTCCGTACACAAAACGCATACATATCTTATCTGTAATAATTACATAAAAATTAGATAAAAAATAACTTTATTATTATGCAATAATTACATAATATACAATTATACAAATAAGACACTATTTAAACATACAAATTACACAATATATATAAACATACAAATTAAAAAATATATAAACACATTTAAGGTAATTTTAACAATAAGCATAAATTAATTGATCATTATTAAACATATTAATGAATCATAAGTATACGATATATATAAACATTATTTTATTTATTGTTACTACACAAATATTAACTTTAGAAAGATGCTGTTTATATGATATATGAGACCGCAGTGAAGTTAACTAGAATGAACAATACAATAAATTCTTGATCTGGTTGAACAAATTAATTACACAACAGGCTATTGTAGTGTTGAAGTCACTTAGAAGCAACACTATCATACCTTTGTTTCCTGAACTGTCGGAGATACCGTCGGTACCTGAATGCAAGCTGTTCCATTTTTAATCCATCCATAGGGACAAACACATTCTGTGCGAATACATAGAAGCAACATAAATTGTATTTAATATTGCAAATAAGACATATGTCTGTTAATTTGTTACCTTCTTGAAATAAAATGTTTCTAATAATAATAAAATGCAGCAAAAACAATAACAACAACAAAACGAGAAAAACATAAACAAAAACATGTCAGTAAAAAACGAAATATTCATAACTTTATGTTAGAACAGAACAGAAGTTATTAGAATAAGAAACAAAAATGATATTTAAAGGACTCCACCAAGATTTTGTTTTTACATGACGGGACCGGAAATATTTTTCTTTCCATTTGATGTAGTGCTGAACCAATGACTTGTGTGCAAAGTTTTCAGATCACTCGCCAGAATACTCATTTGAATTAAGTAAAACGGATTAAGAATAGCAGAAAAAAACTCATTTTTGTGTTTTCTTATGCAATAAATATTAAGTTTTTATGCTTTTGGACTTCGATGGATTTCATTTAAACTAAGCATTATACCGAAACAGTGTAGGATATGACGAAATATATCTTCTTTACGGTTTCTAGTGTAGCTGACCGATTGTAAAGTTAACCAATTCTATTTTTTAATTTAATTATTTGAAAATGAGCAAATATTAAAAACAAAAACATAATATTACCAATTTGTACAATGGTTTCTAAAATCAGGTATAATATCACCAATAACGTCATAATTTAGATCAGCTGATCACTAATTATTTCATACAGCAAAGAATTGCCTCCCCCTTCAATTGTATGAGTCGTTTACAATGTCCAATGAGTTCTGTTCAGACGAAATGTCTCTCGTATAAGTCACGTAATTCCTTTAGGTTCACGATCTTTGTCTTTACATTCGAGGACACCAAAAAATACACAGTTTAAACTGTTAGAATATTATTTCACCGAGTGTTAACACACACACGACTGATTCAAACACTACTGTTAATCCTAGTTCTGTAGTTTGATTATATTCTCATTCAAACAATTCTGTTTATACCAAGTAGTATATTCGCATTTAAAACCGAGTTCTAGAGTATGTTTATGTTCACATTCAAACACTACTGTGTACTCTTGAAAGAGAAGTTATGTCCACACTTATTTACTATTGTATACAAACTAAATTACCTTATCAGTAACATTCATTCTCAGATAAACTTCTCAAATTAAAAATGTCCTTAAACTAAAGAAGAGGAACTAACATGTGGATAATAGGTCGAGGTGTCTAACCCAGATAAGGAGATAAAAAGTAAAACCATTTGACTATACCTTTGGTGCTTTCACAAAAATTTAAAGAAGAGCATTTGAATTTAAAAAACATATTTCAATATCGTTTTTTTAGTTGTTTTTCGGGGTTTATTTTAACTTAATTTTGTCATATGACATTCGATTTAAGCAATGTTTTGTAAATGTTATACATGTATATTATTGATATAAGCAAAATCATTACACTCAGAAAATAAACCTATACTTGTAAATTCAGGAAAATATATAATAAATGTAATAGTGCCTACATTTATGAAAGGTCTTGTTTATTATATTGCCACCCCTACTGAAAGGGTCGGCCATTTCTGACTTATGAGACATCTTTTGCTTGCATACCATGTATCTCCCAACTCCTACCACTATGCCAGGCGCAAGGCGGATAGAAATCGGTAACCATTCATTTTAACTACGGACGAGTCCCATGAGAAACACTAGTCCTTCAATTAACGCTTCCTTTGGGGCTCGACCCTTCGACCTCCCGATCCGAAGGCGGACGCCTTAACCACTAGGCCAAGGGTACCGGTTATATTATAGCCTTGTGCTGACATCTATTTTTTCAGGAATTTATATTATTGTACTGTAGTTTTATACATTATAAATAATGTCTTTGTTTGAAAAGCTTTTTATATATTTGCTTTTTCCATTTTATATATTTTAAAGAAAAGCTTTGTCATAACATAAAAACAGTTTTATGTTCATTTTCGTGTTTGTTTAAAGTCTCTGATAATATCATTATGTTGTCATAATTATTTATGAATAAAAATAATAAACGCGTTTCGTGTCTAACAAAAAAATTATAATTGTAATCTTGAAATAAGAAGGTACTAATTAACGCAGCTGAAAGAACCTTTTCAGAGCTCTCTTCATTGCAAAGTGTTTTTTCTTTTATTTTTTACGAATTAATAGGATACAAAATATGATCTAAAATTTTGTTTAGTCATTATTTGCATGTACAAACGAAGAAATTGATATTTTATAATGTTGTTTATTCCTTTGTGTTAATGATATTAAATACTACTTTTCTTTAACCTATGTAATGTTCAGTGTGAATCTATATAACTCATTTATGATGAATAAGAAAAAGACAAATTACAGTTACTTTTTGTATAATTATATTCTTACAATCAATATATACAGATAGCATTAATGGGTAACATTACTTATACAAATGTTTCAAAACTAATAAAAAGTGAATTAAAGTTTTTGTCGTAACAAAAAAGTGACACCAACCCAGTGTTGTACCGAATGTTATTTTATTGTTTTAGCCCTCAGCATGTTGGTGGCTACAGAATCTACCCACGTGACCGGTGCGGACCAGGATTGGTCGGCACATCCATGTCATTTGATCTTGGTCTGCACTGTTCACTAGTCAGTCTTTTCTGATTTTTTAAAACTTTTTCCTAAATATTAAGAATGACATTATCTAGATTGAAAAGATGAGCAATTCAATTTAAAATATCTATCATGGTTAGGGTTAAATCGTATTTTAAACTTTTTCACGCTGCAAAGGGACGATGTTTATAAAGCTTTATGAGGTAGAAAAGATGCTCATGCAAGCAGTATGCCTCCATAAACCCATAGTAGTAAAACGTTCATACACATAATTTCTCGTATATTGTTTTCGAGGTGAGTGGAAGCCTTGTGCCAGTCTTTTAGTTTCACTCCATACTGAGATCACCATGACATTTCCTCATATTATATGAAGCAATTGCTCAAATCAATTAAGTTTATTTACAATAACATGGGCAAATCAAATATGAAAATATGTAAAAATATGAAATCTGCTTTAACGTGAAAACACCATTTACATATATCACGGTGCCTACTGTGGTGGATAACAAATACAAAAGACGGTCCAGTTGTCATTTTTTTATGCCGTAACATTGTAAATATTTTATTAATTTTTATGGGATGAAAAGTCCTCTTTGTTCAAATATGCTGTTTCACTTTCCATAAAAATACTGAAGTTTTCCTTCTGCCCTTAAACAGTTTTAAGTATATATTACTCACTAGAATGAGAGTGGTGTACGCTATATTTAATTTTCAAGCATTTAAAAAGTCATGGAAGAAAAGAAAATCAGCACCGTCAGTTGTATCTATTTTTTTCTGCCTAAAATGTCACGTGGTATGTGCACCGCGTACACTATACACAATAATATATAGACAAAAGATAATATAGAACCATCCTTTCTAACATTGGTAACTCAATATGCTTTATGCACATTGATTACTTGCTGAATTACAAAATATAATTGATTCTTTTTTTCTTTCGCATGTTATACTCTGATTTTAATTGGAAAGGGAGCAAATATCACCGGCCAATTATAATAAAACAATAATTTTACAAAGGTGTGGTAAAGTCTGTGTTAAAATTAGCGATGCTCGATAGAAAAGACCTCACTAATAAAGGAACATTGTTTCGGAACGTTTAATTAATCATAACAACAATGATTTTATTATTCTATCTTACAGTTTCAGCATATTCAGTTTTAGGATTCCAAACGCGTGAGTATAAAAACAATTTGGTACTTCTTTCATATTTAAATTTGCCAGTTTTGTTTTGAAATAACTCATATGTTTTTCAGAAATAATATTTTGTAAATTAAAATTCATGTTACGTATATTACTAAATATATGGGATCATCTGGAGGCATTCAGCCTACGGCCTTCGTGGTCAATTCCTACGCATCAAAACTCCAAACCGTTGTTAAATTGCCGATATACACCTCTCATGCCGATGTTATTTCTTAAACACAGATCATAACCCGTATAATTTGATTTGTGTTTTACTTTCTGAATAAAACACAGCTCATTGTATGTCTTATTATCAGTAGGATAGATATCAACACTTGCTCAATGAATAAAAGAAGGGTAACTTCTCAAGTTCAACACTGCAAGGTAGGGAGAGTTGACTTAATGATAATGTTGGTTCAACTTTGTTACAGAAAGACTAAGTTGATTTTTTACGGCCAAGGCCGTTCCAATATCAGTTTAACTTCCTGTAAAATTCACAGGGAAGAACAGAATATAAAAAGATTTTCATTGGTCATTTTAAATTTATAAAATGAAATCTGGGAATTTCATTGGCCATTCTAAAATAAAAAGTGAATGATAGTTCTTGTCATTCTAAGACAGTTCTAAACTAAAATGTAAAAGATAGTTCTTGCCATTATAAAATAAAATGTAAAAGAATAGTTCTAAAATAAAATGTAAAGGCTAGTTCTTTAACATTCTAGTTAAATTGCTCAGCTATTTAAGTTCTGTTTAACAATGCTTCCTCCCACAAAACATTTTACACTACATTAAGATCTCATTACCTTTTCTAGTGCACATTTTATTTTACGTAAGAATTTACTGAAATATTTTGCAATAGATCTGAATTTTTTGTCCAAAATAACGAGAATAATAGTAGAGCTTATCAGGTACCTAAAGTTAATGATGTTCAATATTTTAACTGTTATCAACAAAGTAATATGTTAATTATTAAATGTTACTGTACATGTATTTAATATTTTATTTAAAAATTTGACCAGTTGAATTATTTGTAGAAATGAATATCATACTCACTGATTGGAGAACGCGTTTATCAAGAGACCATTTTCTTAATACCCTTTAACAGTATCCCCCTGGCAACATAGTCTCATCAATTATCTATGTTCTTTTCAAACTGTCGGTAATGCAATGCAGTGAAACAGACAGACAGCCAATCATTCTGTATTCCAGTGCTTTCAATGTAGGTGATGTTAGTACCGTATCTATAATTGATAATTTTATTTGTCTTTAATATTACTTTTTATTATAGTTATCTATCACTTTTTTCTCGTTTTATTTCTCCATTTAAGCATGTTATTACGGAACTACAGCTAACTACAGTGGTTATCTTAATGTAACAGTGACTCTTTTTCATTGTGAAAGATGGGATGCACATATTTCAGATGTAAACTCTACATGGGATTTCAGTGTTGACGGTTCCATTGAGAAGGCTGGAAGCTATTGCAGGGACCCGAACTCATCTGGTACGAAAAACATATTGAAATAATTAATAACTGATACAGTGATATGCAATTATAAAAACGGACGATTTCTGTTTATTTAAGTCACGTCGTGTTTTGACTTATCGCTAAGATACCCGTTAATTCAGGCTTCATGAGTATAGATATATCATCAGGCGCGGACAATTGATCTCAGACATTCAGTCTAATTGTCATGTGTCTCCAACCCTTAAGTACTATAACTACTTTAGTAGTCGGTCACCAGCGGAGAAATTGATAACTTCTAAGTTATCAAGAAAACCCGGCTTGGTGAATCAGATATGACATAAATATGATAAAATAGGGATACAAAACAACAACAACAATCCAAAAGTATGTCGTCATGATTGCGTGTTTTCAGCCTTTTGCCCTTTCGTCCAAAGAATACACTCATCCGAGATGCCATAATTAATCAGGCACCTTATAAAATACGTAAGGTTGCTTTTTTACAGAAAATTTAAACTTAACATTAATATGATCAGACTGGAAGCGAGATAGATACTTTTCCTTTATCATTCTTTACAATATGTGCGATAAATGTGCACTAACTTGTGACGGCATTTGTGGTCAACTATTTACGATCGCTGAGTTTGAATATTAAGGTTTGACAAAACTTTTGGATTCTTATGTGTCAAAACCAGCTAACGTAACAAAATGTCTGTGGTTCTAACCAGATGGCCAATTTATGCCTAAAATAATGCTCACAAGAGCACTCGAGGTACACCTTCGCCATATGATATGACATTTAAACGTCGCCTCGCCTTGTTGATCTTTATTCTCATTCTTTGTGCTGTGGTAAGTTCGTGAGCTAAAAATAAATGATTTACTAGGCAATGCCGATGATTAATACTCCGATCAGTAAGTACATGCTTTGTGGTTTCAAACAAAATGGTTATTTCAAGGTTTTTACTACCAAGGTCTATATAAAAACGAGGTCATCATGGTGCGAAACCAGTGAGATTTATAAATTATCATAGGTAAATCTTTGTAAAGACTAAGAAATACTTTAGGAAAAATTATAATGCGACGGCCATGATTCAAACAATTCATGTAAGTACGCAAGACAAAGTTTGCATCTCTTTAATGAGGATGTATGAATTTTGTAAATCAGTATGCCCCTTAGATGAGGTTCATAACTTTTACAAATTGGTAAGAGCTTCACCTAACCAAATACCAAATATCTAATCACTCTTATCATTCTTAGGATTTTTAAACATTTTCTATATATTTCAACTTCTGAGCATATGTAAAATCAGGTAAATGATTATTCATCAGTTTAATGGATTATGTATTTACATATTAAATGTATAATAAGAGTAATTCAAAGTCATGTTTAATTGTAAAGAGACTCTAAGACTAACGTCATGAAAGTCAATTCCAAACCTTTTACATTTTTAAAAGTTTCTCAATATTCTTAATCAGGTTTTTTTTTTATTTATTTATCCACCCGTTTATTTTATCTATTGCACTTTTTTAATAAATGATTTCTTACGATTGATTCATTGACAGGACAGTTGTGGTGTTACTCCACAAATCCTGTCAGAAAAGTGGAAAATTGTTCCATCGTTGCTTGTGAGGATGCTGCCGTATCAAAATCTTATCAACTAATAAGGGGAGACAACAAAACCGCAATGGTAAAATATTCTTAAATCTTTTATCTAGTTTATTTGCAACGTATTTCCATAAAATTTTGTTTCAGTTTTTAGCATTGTTATTCGGTCAGATTCCGTGTAAATTTTATTTTGTGTTCTAGATGTAACATTTTTTATACGTATTGCATGCACACACGAGAACGCATGACTTCACGAAGACTGCATTGAAAATATTCAGTACGAAAATCGGTAAATGCCGTGCAGTAACTCAGCAGGGTAGGATTACATTCGATATCTTTTTTTTTAAGTTTTACATTTTATAAAAATGATTACAAAGTTTTCTTATTTTGCATTCACATATGTAGTTGCATATATGGATGCCTTGAAAGTCATGTATGTAATTAACCAATGCCGAATCTTGAGATCCGTATTAAGTGATCTCCATGAAGCTATGATGTCCTGAAAGAAATGTTGAATTTTTTATATTTTACCATGCTTGAAATGGAAAGATTTACCACGAAAGATATTATTTTGCCATGACAACTTTTTGAACATTTTTTTTTAAAATGTGCGTTTTGTTAAATCTCATTTGCGGTTACAGACCACTAAACTTTAGAAGTCCAACAATATAAATTACCGAGATTGTCACTGAATCACTTTAGAAATAAAAGAGGTGTGTGGAATAAATGAGGGGTGAGGCGAGTACCAACAGACTCCCTGAATTTCTGTTGTATATAATGTGTATATTCGGTTTCTAAAAAATAATGATTTTGGTAGTTAATACACAGTAATTTATATGTTCATGTGCGTGTATATACACTCCTAAAGTCGATGTTGTTGTTGTCATTAACATTTGGATTTTAAGTAAAAAGTTATTTGTAAAAAAGGAAAGTACGGTTAATTAGAATGAAAATATCTCTATGGTGGAAAAAAATGAATGAGCGAAATTCATCAAACCGTTATCGCTTTAAGCGATCTTAATAAACAACAATTTGAGAATTAGTGTCTGTAATCTTGAGCGATAATACAAAAGTGAAAATACCGTTTTCGTACAAAAATTCATCCTCGGTAGCCCATGCGTACTATTTAAGTTAAGTTGCATGTTAAACTGACAATGTATTCTGCAGCAAAGAACGACTGAAATAAAAAGAATGTAACAAACGATTGAGACAATTAAAGCAGCACGCCTCCAGATTCATGTTAATTTTCATTTTTTAAATGTATTTAAAAGTAAGATAATGTGAGGCGAACAAACAAATAGAAGATATTGAATGAGTGTAAGTTCAATACTGAATTTATTGCACGAGTTGAATAAAATTATATTATGCGAGCCTCTGGCGAGCATAATATTATTTTATTCAACGAGTGCAATAAATTCAGTAATGAACTTACACGAATTTTATATTCTATTTATCACATACCCAAAATAAACACCGTTTAAAGTGAAATAAGAGTCATGTTTCATTGACGCGCCTATAGTATAACGCTAACATTTAGCGCGTCTTTACACTATGTTTGTATAACGCTAATGACGTCACGTCAAAATATATGCACGGCTGTGCAATACCATATTTACGGAGTCGCAAAATCGGCACGGGTGTGTGATAAATAGAGGATATTAAATGAGTGTAAGTTCAATACTGAATTTATTGCACGAGTTGCATAAAATTTTATTATGCGAGCCTCTGGTGAGCATAATATTATTTTATTCAACGAGTGCAATAAATTCAGTAATGAACTTACACGAATTTAATATTCTATTTATCACATACCCAAAATAAAGACAGTTTACAGTGAAATAAGAGTCATTTTTCATTGACGCGCCTACAGTATAACGCTAACATTTAGCGCGTCTTTACACTATGTTTGTATAACGCTAATGACGTCACGTCAAAATATATGCACGGCCGTGCAATACCATATTTACGGAGTCGCAAAATCGGCACGGGTGTGTGATAAATAGAGGATATTGAAAGAGTGTAAGTTCAGTACTGAATTTATTGCACGAGTTGAATAAAATTATATTATGCGAGCCTCTGGCGAGCATAATATTATTTTATTCAACGAGTGCAATAAATTCAGTAATGAAGTTACACGAATTTAATATTCTTTTAATCACATACCCAAAATAAAGACCGTTTAAGGTAAAATAAGAGTCATTTTTCATTGACGCTTCTATAGTATAACGCTAACATTTAGCGCGTCTTTACACTATGTTTGAATTACGCTAATGACGTCACGTCAAAATATATGCACGGCCGTGCAATACCATATTCACGGAGTCGCAAAATCGGCACGGGTGTGTGATAAAGTAATTTACATATTGCAATCGGCATTTACAATCCACGAAAATTACCAAAAAAAGTGGTCATTATATGCAAAAAAACAGCCCTTTCTGTGTTAGTAACGCAATAAAAATGATGATAAAATACTGCAAAATCAGTATTAAACCACACATAACATGTAAAATATCACTCCTATCTTGAATGTTTTTACCTTTCTTAAAAGTTTGATGCATTTTTCTCAATATTAATTTTCTTAAAATATTTTTTGGATCATCTGGAGGCGTGCAGCTTTAAATGCTAAGTTTTTCAATGCGGTAAACATGTAACCAATTGTATCCGAATACGTTAGCTATAAATACGACCAGATTCAATGTGAACATCTTTTTTATGCAAAGGAGGTTTAAGATCTGTGATAGCCAATATTTTCACATGGATGTTGAGAAGTGATTTTGTCCCGAAATCTTTAAAAAGAGGGCTAATTGTAATCTTACATAAAGATGAGAACAAAAGAAATCAAAGCACAGAAGGCGCTGAATTTGTTTGGGTCTCAGAATGTCAGAAAGGTGAAGGTTGTGAGATTATAAACCAATTTGTTTTTGTATAGTGCCACCAATGCTCTCCAGCGGCGTTTTAATTGTAGTAAATTGGCTATAAGACTAATTGCAACACTGATATTCAATTCAATGTTTATATGACTTAAACAAATTGAAAAAAAAATGAGTTGCCTTAACTGGGATTTGATATCCAGACCTCTCGCTTCCTAAGCGAGCGCCCAAACCGAAACTATATGTTAGCGGCCTGAAGAAAATCATATTATTCTAAATTAGGGTTTGTAACGACGCTAACTGTTGTTTAACACATATGTAAGTAATCATGGAGCTTACTATAAGCATGTACATCTATAAAGAATAAAACAATATTGAAATCTTCGACCATTCGGGAACTATTTTGCTTGAAAATTAATGCGCCTGTCATTTGACCGTCTTTACGCAGTGATCTCCCCTGAATTTTTCGGTGTTAGTGTTCATATAAAGGGATGTAACCGCTTCAAAAAAGCGGACTACTTTCGGCATTTGCAATTAATAGCATCAGTGTCTGAAATTTCGCTACCTTTATCTGTTTGGTCTGACGACCCAAACAAATAAAAAATGACCTTGATACTTAAGTTATAGCGCAATTATTATAGCGCAAATACACTTTTATCAGTCATCCTTAAACATTGGGAATCTGTGTTACTGTCAAAATCAGTGTGTTTCATGGACAGACGTAAGGCTTCCGGTACAGTTTGACACAATGGCATGTTGAATTAACTTCATTTTGAAACTTATTTCGATACAGCTACATTTGTAGCATTCTGTGCAATGAACACACATGTCAAGTTGTATACGAAATCAGAGGAAACACTGGTAAATATAATTAATGTCCTTCATGGCACAAGGCAAGAAGGATAGACTTCACCAATTTTGTATCCTTTGTACATTTATGGCCTCTTGAATGCATTAGAGCAAAGTAGATGTGGAATTTGTTTGCATGGCACGTGACTTAGTTCCCCCAAATGTCGCTGATAACATGCCTCGTATATCATTTATAGTTCGGGATGTAAAACAAATGCTTGATATGTGTGTCAATTAGTCAAAACTGTGGCAGTATAGTTATAACGCTGATAAATGTGCTATTAAGTCATCTTAAATGAGCGTGATATGGCATTCTTAAAACGTAACAACGTGTTTTGTCTTAACAAAATATATACACACAATCAAACTCAATATCTTTTCTGCTTGAAATGAAAGTGATGAGCCGTTGCCAATAGTAGATCCTAGTCAGCATGTACATTAGTATAGTTTGGTTCAAATTCATCATGACATCACTTACATGTAAATGCACATTTCCACAAACGTGAGTGGGACAATTACAATAAATTCAGCTGGTTAATTGTTAAAATATTTATCTAATTATTGTTTGAGTTTAAGTAGAATATAAATGCAATTTGCATGCAAATATTTGCCTTGTATTGGAAAATTATCAAAAAAAATAGTTAATGGAAAATAAAAAAGTATGATGAAACATTAATTCAATAATTTACAATTCTTTCATGGGTGTTGTCGGAACAGTCAAACCTGTTGCCTCGAAGTATCAGGGATGGACGTAAGGCCGAGGGCAAGGATGTAGGACAAAAGCCCCCCCCCTGACGAAAGCCCCCTCCCGGTCTAAAAATGACAAGGTGGACAAAACCCGATGAAATTTAAACATAGGACAAAAGCCCCCCCCCAATAAAAATGTAAAGGTAGGACAAAAGCCCCCCCCCCCCCCCATGGTCCATCAAATTTACATATATTGTAAATGAATTAATAAAAGTGAAAAGAATTTGTTTTAATGTTTATTAATAAACATTAAAACATTATTAATAATGTATAAATTGAAGTGATAACAAAGTATGATAACAGATGAAATAATGCATGCATGCGATACTGAATTCATAGCTTTTCATATACACAACACGCGTCAGAAGATTAGTAATGTTTAATCAATTTTTGTAAAGGGGTCAAAAGCACTATGTCACCTACATGTGATGTCCAAACATAGTTTTTTAAACACATAAAAACACAACTTTAATACATACATGCTTAAAAATGTTACAAACATGAAGATGAAGAGCACATGGATGAAATAAAGCACAGTTTATTGATAAATTATTCTCACAGTCTCTGCTACAGTTCAGTTCCAGAAAATGTTCACATTTACTTATTAATCTTATTAAAGATTAACCTCTTTATTAATCAATTATTTCTGTTATAGATGATTATAATCTAGTAATCAAGCTAGTAATTAGAATACCTTAACAATAGCTGGGAATTATCAGTTTTGATCTTAAATCAATTTCAAAAGACTTCTATGTAAAAGTTGTGAATGAGGGTTTCATTTTTAACAAATTAACAAAATAAACAATTTTATTGAAAAAAAAACATACATATACAAATATATGTTTTCAACAGATTACTGTTCTACAAAACCCATGAAATAACTGTTTTATTACATGCATGCACAGTATTTCAGAGTTTCAATTAAACAGATGTAATTAGGAATTTGGTACTTATAGTAGGCATTAGGTTATAACATTAAATGATTGGGTATTTCTACCGAGGATAGTACAAGTATTACACAAATGATTTGAATATATGAGCCGCGTCACGACAAAACCAACATAGTGCGTTTGCGACCAGCATGGATCCAGACCAGCCTGCGCAGTCTGGTCAGGATACATGCTGTTCGCTTACCAACCCTATTACAAGTAGAGATTCTGATAGCAAACAGCATGGATCCTGATCAGACTGCGCGGATGCGCAAGCTGGTCTGGATCCATGCTGGTCGCAAACGCATTACGTTGGTTTTGTCGTGACGCGGCTCATATCATTTAAATTTTTCAGTTAAAAAGTTTCGATGATGTATGGAGATGTCACTATATTCCTGATGATGGTTGTTTCATGACTGAGAAGACACTGTGTGTGATGTTCGCCACCGACGGTGAAACATGTTTGAAATATATGTGTTGTGTAAATAGAGGTAAGATACAAATATAATACATCTTTAATGGCGAGATAAACAAGACAAACGTGTGTTATATAAGCAAAAGTAATATACAAAAATATATCATCACTGATGGCAATCACATGTATTATATAAACAATGGTATGATACAACATTATTATATCTTCACCGATACTTAATACACATTTTATATTAACACAGGTAAGATAAAAATATTCACAACTGAATACATGTGTTTTGTAAACAGAAGTAAGATACATGATTTTTCTCAACTGACGGCAAGATAAACAATACATGTGTAATATAAACAGAAGTATGAACAAAAATATACCATCATTGACGGCGAGAAATTTAATATATGTGTCATATGAATAGAGCTAAGATACAGAATATTCAACCAATGAATGCATGTTTTATATAAACATATGTAAGATACAAAAATACCGCCACTAATGGCCAGATAAACAATCCATATTTACATAAACCGAGGTAAGATATGGAAAATACCACCACTGATGGCAAAAATGTATTACATGTGTTATACCATCACTAATAGCGAGGTACTTAATACATATGTTACATAAACCAAGGTAAGATACAAAACTATACCGCCGATGGATAGATTATATAAACCGAGGTAAGATACAGAAAATATCACCACTAGTTGTAAGATACACAATACATGTGTTATATAAATTAAGGTAATATATAATAGTATACCATATAAACTATCGATGTTCTACACATACAGAAAACACCACCCTTGATAGAAAGATACACAAAACATGTGTTTTATGAATAGAGGTAAGGTACAAAAATATAACACCACAAAAATATAACACCACCGATGGCGAGATAAACAGTTCATGTTGAATTAGAACCGCGAGGTTATATACAGAAAATACGATCACTATTTGCAAGATACTTAAAACATAAATGTATGTTATATAAACAGAAATAAGATACGTAATCCACCACTGATGACGAGACAAATAAATGCACGTTTTATACACGGAAGATACTTGAAATACAACCACTGATGTCAAGATATACACTAAATGTGTTATTGGAGAGGTCAGGAGAGGTCTGATTGCTGGCGGCATCCATTTTTACGTATCTGATTGTAGTGAATGAATCTCATTTTAAGCGTAAAATGATTAGGAGCAGTCTACAAAAACTGTGCTGCGCATGCTCCGCTTCAAAATACGACTTAACTTAAACGGAAAAATAGCATCGAAGGGAACAAATCTATACATAGAAAAATTTGGAAATTATCATTTACGTTACTTAGCGCTATCCGTTTTAATCTTTTAAACTGTACCGTATTGTTTACTGAATAACGTTTTACTATTTAATGTTCCAATAAATAGTAACAGTGAACATTATAGATGCAAAATCGTCATGCACTATTATATGACCGAGTGAACCGCGTACCGAAATGTTGCTGCTCCTTTAACTTTTGAACCGGTAGACTAAATGACGCAAGGGAGATTTTTTGGCGAAAATGGCACACATTTTACTCAAGTTTGATTTCCTTCAAATATTGGGTTGGAGGCATTCAGCTTTACATACTGTTTTTTTTTCCAATCAAATGATATACACATTTTTTATGTAAATCTGGGATTTAAAATTGTTTGATTAAAGGGAGGTTTTTTGACATGATGGGACTGAAATATTTTTTCCAGATAAATGTACCATTTGATGTAGGTTTAGACCACTAATCTTTGTGCAAAATTTCAGATCATTCGCGCACTTCGTTTTTCCATAATAATTATTCAAATTTAAAAAAAAATGACCCAAAATGAAAGCGTTTAAACACATTTCACGCAGATCAGGCTGAGAAAAGCATAAAAAACGATTTTCAATTTATTTCAAAGTATATTTCTTAACTATCTTTGCTTATATTTCTGTTTAAAGTGCCCCAGCTCATTTATGTAAAAAATTCAAATGTTATGTCTTTAGGCTTTTGAACCTCAGTTGACTGAGTTGAGTCCCTTTAGCATACTTCATGCCCGTTTTGGAACATGTAGAGGAAATGTTTCTATATACTTAACAAAACATTAACTGAAAAATTGCTTATTGAATTTTACAAGAAACTTTTATTTTGATACTACTTTTAATATATATATATACATTTATTTTAAATTTAGTTTGCTGACATAAATTGTAATTTATAACCATTCATTGTGCCTTTTATGCAAATTTTCGAATAATACAAATCTTTCACAGCTGCAAATGCTTCCTTTTAAAGAAGCAAACTTGTATAAATAGAGGTTAGATACAAAGATATACCACCACTGATGGTGAGATTAACAATCCATGTTTTTTAAGAAGAAGAAGAAAAGAAAAGAACATTTATCATGGAGTACTTCGTTGTTTCAAGTTATGAAATAATAAAATTACCAATGTCACAATGATTAGGAGCTAATATGTAAAATATGTCAGCTAATTCAACATAGAAAATAACAAAGTGTGCAAATGTATCAAATGAAGAATGCATTCACTGTACAAATAATTTTAACAATATTTATCATTAATGTACTTTAACAAAAATTTGAATTTATCAAGAGCTTAAGTCATCATTCCTAACAAACGATCATAGTAAATTTGACTTTATTACTTAAATTAAGTGACAAAAATAAATAATAGTTCTTGAAATTGGTAATATTACTATAAATTAACCTGTACTTTTTAAGGCATGTGCTTGAAGAATGGAAAAAACGAACAAAAATAAATACACTTAATCATTAAAATTGTAACATTACTCTAAAGGTCAGACTTAACAGGTCATTATTATAAGTGCATGATCATTTCTTATAGCGTCCGGTACGAGATCGACCAGCAAGGTTAATATATTTAGAAAGGTTTCTTATAACGACGTTATTTTTCGAGTAAGGTAGCTGCGTAAATTTGTATCAACATATGTAAAATACAGATATGCCATCACAAATCGCAATATAAACAATTAATTAAAAACCAATTTGTTAGCTATACAACATAAACCGATGCGAAAACATGCTAAAATGCCATTTCGTTAGCCTAAAAACGTAAACTGACAAAAAAGACATGCTGAAATACCCATTTGTAAGCCAAACAGCGTAAACTGACACAAAAACCTGCCAAAATACTTATTTTTCAGCCGCACAACGAAAAGTGTTGAAAAGACATGCTAAAATACCAATATGTTAGTCGAACAGCGTAAATTGACAAAAAAGACATGCTGAAACCAAACAGCGTAATCTGACACAAAAACCTGCTAAAATACTAATTTTTAGCCGAACAACGTAAACTAACGAAAAGACATGCTAAAATACCAATATGTTAGCCGAACAATGTAAACTGACAATAAAGACATGCTAAATTACCAATTTTTCACAATGAATTATAAATGTACAAAGCATAGAAATCGATAACTCTATTGACATTCTTTGTTTATAAAGAAAAAATTATTGGCTTATAGGATGACACCAGAAAGAGTAATATTAAATTCCAGATTATTTTCATTTCATGTTTTCAATTTTTAAGGATGTTATGAAGGTAGCACAAGTACATATACTGAAGATTGGGAACATACATATACCTATAAAGAATGTCACAAATGGGCACTTATACCACCAAGTATGTTGATCTACACACAGTTTAACAGTTCAGCTCATATTACACAATCAAACAATTACTGTAGGGACATGGTGAATGACGGTAAGATTATTCCATATAATTATTGTTTATTTTGTATATTTTGATAAATAGTTTCTTGGTCCTAAAATAAAGAATTTTTGTAATAACTGTATGTTTGCAATTTAATCTTCCCCTGTTTTTAGTTTCAAAGATTTTTGACAGGTTAGATGTCCCATTTTTTACAAACAGCTGTTAGGTTATATAACACATTACCGTTTATATACGGCCACATAAGTCACATTAAACACTCGATTTATTTGATAAAATAGATAACAGTTCGTGGTAGCAGACGTGTAAATAAATAATGTAAAGTCCCGATTGTTAAATACAAACGTACACTATTTTAAACTCAAAAAGCACACGCAATTTTTTTTATTTATTTATTTTCATAATAGGGGTTCTTTATTGTTTCACTGAAGAGTTTGAAAAGGTCTCGTGTGGTATACCTTCGTGTAGTGAGCAGGCGTCAATGAATAGTAAGTAGGACTATCGGTTATCATTTGTAATTAGATTTATATAATTCACTTTTGGGAAGACCACTTTTCTTTAAAAACTCCGAATCTCGACAAGAAATTTGCATTCTTTTAGGTAGAAAAGCTACCCAGCTAGCTTATTAAAAGTCAATGGTTCTACTCAGGAATTACTGTTGTTAGAAATAATGCGCAGAGGGACGACATCAAGTTATGTCTCGAAAGTTTTTATGTTATTTAAACTTACTCAACAAATAAAACTTTTTTTTATCATGAATAATGATTTTGTTTTGCATATAAAATTAAACCAAAGTGCTGCAGCACTGAATGCGACGGACATGCAACCGGAGAGACATTAAGGCTTTTTTTAGAAAAAAAACACAAAAGATATAACAGAGAAAATTTGTTCCATACAAGTTCGAGATTTGTAGAGCAATACATTTTATGTGTCCCAATCTGATATAGTTCAGATTTTCTACTTTCAAGCAGAACAAGTAAAAAGTTTTAAATACAGAATGAAATTTATGCCTATAATTCTGGTCAAACTTGTTAATCAGTGTCCCAAGAAATGATAAGTAAATAGAAAAAAAACTGTCGACGAAATATTTCTAAAATAAAAGATTCAAGATTCAAAATATTTCATTTGGTAACGTAAACATGACGTTTCTTGCTACACAATACATATATACAATGATACAATATAACTTGTCAACATGACACAAATGTATAGACAATTATATTTTTAGCGGAAAATATGATACATATAGTCAAAACAAGAAAGAAAATGGAAGCGAGAAAACAAGGAGGTTGAACAAATGGAAATTTTGTATATTTAATGACTTACAGCTAAATTACAGTCAAAATCAGTCAAATGTTAAATTATTGAATTAGTGTTTACGTATATCATTATAAGCATTACAAATACAAACAAAATGAAATTCGTCTTCTATATCACGTGAATTACAAATAAGACAATATCTCTCACTACGTTCAGTTCTACAATTACCATACCGTCCAGTTTCTATTCTAAGTTGGTGTGAAGACAATCTTAATTTTGCAAAAGCAATCCTAAATTTCTTAGGAATTTTATCAAGATACAGTGAGTAATCAAATGACGTCTTAAAAAGTCTATATGTGCTCGGGCTAGTTGTTACATTATGATACAATGACTGGATGAATTGATCAATAAGAGTTTGCTTAAATAATAAATGTACATTTTTAAGGTTATAAATACTTGGATAATACCATATATATGACACACCTGCATTATCTAACAATGATTTCACATTAGACAACCAGTTATTTTTTCCTCTATTAATATCATTTAACATTGATGTATATAAGTATCTAACTATAACATTATTACTGTTAACAATATTTGACCAAAATTTGATAATACGTACATATCTGTTTACATATAAAGGGTACCTTTTTAGTTTACCATAAATAGGCATGCTGCTAGTTGACTGCTTAACACATAACATGGACTTACAAAATTTTAGATGTACTCGTTCGATTTCCTTACTTTTACTAAATCCCCATATTTCACAGGCATAATTTAAGATAGATACAACAAAAGCATCAAATAATTGCAAAGAAGTACTAAATTTAACTGGTGTCTGTTTTAAATTGAACAGTAAAACATTTAACGCCTTTAGGGCTTTCCCTACTAAATACTCTTGATTTAAAGTAAAACTACCTGTATAGTTGAAAACAGTACCTAAATAATTAAAATTGTCGACTATTTCTAAGAGAATATTATTATATGTCCAATACTCATTATTTCTAATCGGACCCCTCTTCCTAAAAACCATAATCTTACTTTTACCTTCATTTACTTTAAGGCCCCATAAAGTAATGTATTTAAACTATTTTGTATTAGTCTTCAGGGGATTTACTTAAAATAACAATATCATCAGCAAATAACATAAGAATAAATGTAATACCATCTAATGTTAAACCAGAATTAATATCATTTAATAAATACATTTCTAAATCTTCTAAAACATAGAAAACAATATCGGGGACATAACCTCCCCTTGTTTAAGACCAATTGAACATTCCAGGAAATCTGAATATGATTTACTGCCCCTTATTCGTGCTTTTACTTTAGAGTACATATCATGGATGATTCTTAAAGTTTTTCCACGTACACCAATATTATATAGTTTAAACCATAAACCATTACGATAAACACTATCAAAAGCCTTTTGAAAATCTATAAAGGCACATGTCAGACGCCCATTTTCATTAAAATTTTTATTAACAACAGCATTTAAAACAAAAATAGCATCAACTGTGGAGCGACCCTTCCTGAAACCAAATTGTGCATCACTAATTTTGTCGTTTTCTTCAGACCATTTTGTCAATCTGTTATTCAGAACACCTGTAAATATCTCTGAAAAACAACTAACGAGACTGATTCCTCTATAATTACTAGCAAGTGCAGGGTCATTTTTCTTAAACAGAGGTACAATAATACTTTCCATTCATGAATCTGGAAAAAAGCCAGAGTTCAGAATACCATTAAAAATATCAACTAAATGCGATGATAAAATATCGGATGAATTTATAAAATACTCATTCATTAACTGGCCACCTGCAAAAGCCTTATTTTTCTTTAAATGACGAATAACACAATTTATCTCATCAACTGTTATAGGTTCATTTAGCTCCTCGTACAGTACATCATAACTAAAAAAATCTAAATTTTCACAAAATAATTCACTTTCGGCATGCAAAACGTTTGGCAAATCATTACTTAGGGTAGAAAAATGCTCATAAAAATCTTCTATGGAAACACTATTCTTATGTATCGCCTTTGTAGTAAACAATTTCCAAAAATCCTTAGGTTTACAGTGACGAAGGCGTTCAATTTCTCTTAATTTTTTTAACTCATAACTACGTTTCTTTTTTAACAGCATTTTTATAAATTAGTTTATTATTACAAAATTCTATTCTATTTACATCATTTTTACACATATTATATTTATATACAGAAATTAAATATACCTCTTTTGAACGTTTGCAATCTTCATCAAACCATTCCGCTTTTTAGCTCGACCTTTCTATGAAAAGGGGAGCTATCCTACTCGCCCCGACGTCGGCGTCGGCGTCGGCGTCGGCGTCACACCTTGGTTAAGTTTTTCGTACCACCCCACTTTATTTCAGAAGTATTACAAGTATGGCTTTGAAACTTACCATACTTGTTCACCATCATAACCTCCATCTACAGACAAGAGTACATAACTCTGTCAAGGTTTTTGACAGAATTATGGCCCTTTTTTGACTTAGAAAGTGTATTGAGCTTGGTTAAGTTTTTTGTACCACCTCACTTTATTTCAAAACCATTGGAGGTATTGCTTTTGAAACTGACCATACTTGTTTACCATCACGACCTTCATCAACAGACAAGAGGACATAACTCTGTCAAGGTTTTTTTGACAGAATTATGCCCCTTTTTGACTTAGAAAATACATTGAATATGGGTAAAATCCACTTATTTGCCTTAACCCTTTGAGATATTGCTTTTGAAACTTTTAATGCTATTTCACATCATTACCCCCATCTGTACGCAAGAGAAGGTAACTCTGTCAGGGATTTGTTTTAAAAATTAAGGCCTTTTATCGACTTAGAATCTTGGTTAAGTTTTTGTACCAGTCAACTTTTTGACTGAACTGGTTGAGATATTAAATTGAAAGTTGGAATACTTGTTTACCATCATGGTCCCAAACATGGGCAGGAGAAGGTAATTCTGTTAAGGATTTTATTTGAATTATGGCCCTTTTGACTTAGAAACTCAGTTAAAATTTTTCATTCTTGTCCACCTTGTTACCTAACCATTTGAGATATTTACTTTGGAAGTTGGAGTTCTTATGTGCCATCATGAGACCTATCTGTAAGCAAGAGAAGATAACTCTGTGAAAATGTTTCTTGATTTGTACTTAGAAATTCCTAGTTAAAGTCTTGTGTGCCCTTAACTGTCAAAGTTTTGTTTTATAGGCAAGCACTAAAAAAGTCGAGCGCGCTGTCCTTCTGACAGCTCTTGTTTACATAGTTTACCATCGGCACGTGGCGTAATATATGTTATTCTACGTTTACAAAATAATGGATCTGCCACGCTTCTCACAACATTTACAAAGGATTCTATACATGAATTTAACTGTAATATATCGTTAAAATCAACATTTTCGGTAATAGTATTTAAACGTGGTAGTTGTGATATAAGACCTCTACGGAATTCGTTCCGTAACTCGTCATTCCATCGTAAACTAATGCCTTCATAATAAATATCATTATCCTCGTGCAATACGTGGCATTTAATAGAAAATGATATAGGAGCATGATCAGACCATTCATTAAAACTCTGTACAGAGAAATCGCTAACTAAACTGAAATATTGCTCTTTCAACAATAGATAGTCAATGACACTAGATCCCGATGAACATATATAAGTATAGTTTCCATTATTATAGTCGCGCGACCAAGCCTACCATTTGCAATACGTAAAGAACTAGCCTTGCATACATCTAATAATTTAATACCCGAGTTATTATGTAGACAGTCCATGGACACGTCTAAAGGCATGTCGGTGTAATAATCACAAGAAAAGCATTGATGCAAAGCATCAAAGGGCGTCCAAACAGCAGGTGCAGATGAACTAGTAGATATATGATGACAAGATATTCTTATAAACTTTTCAATGGTTCATTGGGTTTTACCAGAATTGTATATCACTTTTGAATGAACGGACGAAAGACATTGTTCATTATTTATAACTTTGATCGGCATGCTAGAAATTAGAATATTACTTGTTATTTCTTTATGATCGTGGTTATAAATAGCAACGGATATGCATGTATACAATCATTTATAATCCATATGTGTAACGCATGATCAACACCATACTTGTGTAATTGTCCCTTATTATGTTATTGCTATTAACGAGGACCCCCTCTTAAGTTATCTGTTCACACTAAGTAACAATATGACACTTGTTATATTAC